AGATATCCAAAGGATTTCTGCGGGTAGCCGATGAAAATACATCGCTCACTACGAGGTTCGAGCTTTTCGTGAGTTTCTCATCTTACAAAAACTTCACAGCCCCAAACCTTGATATGTGCCAACGAGGGAGCTTTTCATGTCCACATCTCATGAGGTGTTTTGGCAACCTTCTTTGTAGGGACTCGGTTAAGGATATGGGCGGCAGTCTCTAAGGCATACCCCCAGAATGAGATAGGTAGTGAAGCACGGCTCATCATAGAATGGACCATGTCTAACAGGGTTCGATTACGCCTTTCTGCCACACCATTCAACTAGGTGGTGTCAATTGCGAAACTATTCCGCATTCCTTGAGATAGTCGTGGAATTCAAGACTTAGGTACTCTCCTCCTTAATCGGATCGAAGCATCTTGATTTTCCTGCCCAATTGATTCTCCACTTTATGTTTGAACTCTTTAAACTTTTCAAACGTTTCTGACTTGTGCTTGATTAAGTAAATATACCCATATCTACTATAATCATCGTTGAAAGTCACATAGAAGCGGTTCCCATCCTTTGTGGCGGATCTAAAGGGCCCACACACGTCGGTGTGTACGAGATCCAATAAACCCTCACCCCTCTCACAAGTGCCAGTGAAGGGTGACTTGGTCATCTTTCCAAGTAAACAAGATTCACACGTCTCATCTTCCCTAAGGTCGAATGACTCCAACACTCCATCCTTTTGGATTTGGGCTATGCGCTTCTTATTGACATGTCCAAGACGACAATGCCACATGGATGCTTTATCCGTACTATTGGAAGAATCCATACACAACACATCATTTCCTAGGTTATCTACAACCATAACAGTTTCATAAATTCCATTACAAGGCATTGCTTCAAAATATAAAACACCATTTAGATAAGCATAAATCGAACCATTCTCATTATTAAACGAATATCTAAATCCTTGTCTAAATAAATCATGAAAAGAATTGATGTTTCTTGCCATCTGGCGAGTAGCCACAATTGTTTAAATCTAAATTCAATCCATTACTAAGCACTAAATAATACACTCCAATCTTGGTAACATGTGACGATCTTCTGTTCTCCATGATTAGATTTATTCTTCCAAGCTCCACATCTCTATTTCTTCCTAGTCCCTGCAAATCAGAACATATGTGATAACCACATCCTGCATCAAGAACCCAAGAAATAGCATGAGATGTATCATTAGATTTAATTGTGTAAATACATGCGAAAGATGGCTTGATCTTCCCATCCTTGATGGCTTGCAGATATTCCGGGTAGCTTCTCTTCCAATGCCCTATTTTGTGGCAATGGTGGCACTCTGCCTCCTTTGGGTTTGGGTTGGGCTTAGTAGGATCAACCTTGGTCCCACTAAAAGAGGAACCATCTTGGGACTTTCCCTTGCGGTGGTTCTTTAAAGTAGCCTTCCTCTTCTTTCCCCTTCCCTGCCCAATAGCCAAAACAGGAGCAGCGGGTGGATTGGGAGTTAGTGCAACAGACTTGTCCTTGAGGTTTCTCTCAGCAGTCCTTAGGAGCCCTTGGAGTTTGCTTAGGGTAACCTCTTCCTTGTTCATGTGGTAGGTCATCCTAAATTGGTTGTAGCATGAGGGCAAGGAGTGAAGAACAATGTCGATAGCCAAATCTTCCCCAAAGTTGACATTCAACTTGCAAACACAATCAACATACCTTTGCATCTTTTGCAAGTGCACGGTTAGAGACTCTCCACTTCCCATTTTAGCCATGATCATATTCGTTATGATCTCATAGCGCTCTTTCCTCGTGCTTTGGTGGTATCTCTCCATCAAGTCTAGATGCATCTCATAAGGATACATGTCCTCATAGGACTTTTGGAATTCGGAGTTCATCGTAGCTATCATGATGCAATGGACTTTCGTTGCATCACGCTCATGGGTCTCAAAGACAGCCATTTCTTCGGGAGTAGTAATTTCTGGATTGATCTTCTCGAGCTTCTCATTGAGAACATACTCTTTGTCCTCGTAACGCACGATCGTGCGAATGTATCTTATCTATTCGCTAAAGTTCGATCTGTCAAAAGTCACTTTTTGACAAAGGCTCATTAGCGTGAATGAGCTAGCAGCAACGTTGTTCGCGTTAGACATCTACAAATAGAAAGGAAACAAAGTTTGATTAGAGTTAAGTCCCTAATTAACACCCAAAATAAAAATTAGGGCTAGGACCCAACAACATTATTTACACATTAGAAAAGGGATGTCGTAATCCAACATGCAAATAATTTGGAGGTAAGTGAATGACGATTCACTAATTCTTCACCATGAAAAACATAAGCTTAAGTTTTAAATGTATTGAGAATTCCTAGATTTCTTTGAGATTCATTGAACTTTTCAATGACATGTTTAAATCTCGATATGCCCCTTTAGTTTGTGACTGGGATGCCGAGGATCACAAAGTGGGTGTGAATAACCATGCAAATCTACATCGTGCCTTCATTGTTACAGTCACCTATTCGACGTGCCGGTAAACCACACACGTTCCATCGAACTATGACAAACAATGAATCACCCTTTGCCACCTTTGCTTAGAACCAATTAGTGTGCCGGTTAACCACACACGCTCCACTAACTTCTTATCAAGGGTGCAAAGTGTAATTTCATGGGATTGCATCAATTCACTTTTCCTAAAGTAACTAAGATTGGGAATTTTATGAAACACGTTTAGTTACTTTATATAGATTCATTATACTTATTAATGAGGAGAGGATTGCCCTATCCTACCTGTTCGGCTAACGACCCTCCACCAGTCAAGCAAGCGGTGGGTGTGAATGTACACCCATTAAGCGCCATTTTATAGGTAGCAACCTTATACTCACCTTATAGACCGGCTTCATGAATGAGGCCTACTAACGGTAAGACTAGCATTTTAAATTATACTTATATATATATATATATATATATATATATATATATATATATATATATATTAAGCTTGTAATAATATAATAGTATAAGGTTGAATTTTAGGCTTGTAAAATACTAGGGTTTGAAATTTAAATTATTCAAATTAAACTTTTAATTACAAAACTTCAATTTCAAAACTTAAGGACAAGTTTTAAACCTTTTTTCAAAACATAAGGATCAAATAGCAAATAATATAAATCAACTAATTAGATTATCTCAATTTGATCTTATTCAATATTACTTGCAAGACAATTCACCAATTCAATTCAAATAATCAATTATTATCATATAAGGAAATTATTATTCAGCTAATTGGTAATTATCTTTTGTTTGGTCAAGAATATACTCATATATATGATTAAAATCGGATTTTAATGACCCAAAACAGTTAAGGCAAGTATCCTCAAGTAAAATCAGCAAGAAATCTCGAAACTACCTCTAACTGACGCTCGAACTCGCCAAGTTCCATTATCGACTTGCCGAGTCCACAATGGAACTTGTCGAGTTCATCAAAGAGACTCAGAAAAATCGAATTTTTCAAGCAACAAGCAATCAACCAATGCATCAATTCAATAGAAATCAATCAAAGCTCTGATACCACTGATGGGTTTGAGCCATAAGAACTTTCCTATGTGCACATGCAAACCCTAATGCTTGGATCTAGGTTTCTCTAATTGAACATGTAATGTATCCAAGGCTTACAATTCTAGATCTAGTGTAAACAATTGAATCATATCATATAAAAACAGATCTAGAAGAATACCTTAAGTTGCTTGCTTGAAACTTCTTGTTCTTGGAGCTTAGAGTCACAATTGTCACTCCTCTAATGGCTTACAAACACCAACTAGCAAGAAGATGATCTTGAGAAAGAGAGAGGAGGGTAAGAAATCGGCTCTAGGGTTTCTTGCCTTGTGTGAATGCCGATTTCCCTCACCCAAGGGATCTATTTATACTATGAGCTATTAGGGTTTCACCCTTAACCCTAATTGAATAACTTAGGCCCTAAGCAATCCAAAGATCCTCCTAGATATTAGGCTTGGACGATTTTAAGGTCTCCTAACCCTAAAATCCGTCCACCCTTATATCCATAAGGATACATAGCCCAAAACACAACTATCACACATTTGACAGTTTATGCCCCTTTATTCAATTAATCTCTTTAAGTCACCAAATTAATTCTTAATTAATATATGACTTATATCAATCAAATAATATTATTATTCCTTTAATATATTATTCTCATAATATATTAACAATAATATCTATTCTCTCTTTACAAATCATCTTGTCAAGTTGCTATGGTGAAGGCAACTGAAAAGGACCATGCATAACCGGGTCAAGTACTTACCAAATATAGTTACAGCCTTAGACACTAATCCAACAATTTATATAACATACTTATGAACTCACCAACTTAATTGTTGACACTCCTTTTAAAACTACTTGTATTTTCAGGAAAGCAGTAAACAGGTACCAACACGTTATGAGGAAGACCAAGTTTCTTTATATTTATGTTTGTAAATTATACTTTTGAAACATAGTTGTAAAACATAAAATCTTATGTAATAAATGTTGTACTTTGGTTTATATTATGCATTGTTGTGATACTACAAATGAAGTCCTCCGCCCCTGAATGTTTCCGTCGTTCAGTTTTGGGGGTGTGACAATCACTGATTCTAAACTGTAACTCAACTCTGTGATACAATAGTTAAACGACTTCTTACTGATGAGCTAACATTGCTTATGATTCATGTTGATTTCACCTCAATATGATGGAAACATTCCATAAATCTTCCCTATAGAACTTAACAATTCATTATGAAATACTACACACTGACGAAAGTTTGAAAAATATGTGCCAAGGGTTTCACTATGTACCATAGTTTATAACATGCACCAACCACTCCTACCATATTTCTTCTTTAAAGCTATATGATTTAGCGTATTAAACCCGATGCTGATGAGAACTTGAAAACTTTGTGTCGATGGTTAGAATATGTATCGTAGTCTATCACGTGCACCAATCCACTTTTACCATATTTTATTCTTTAAAATTTTATGAATCGGGGTATAGTACCAGACGCTGCTGAGAACTTGACAAATATGTGCCGATGGGTATATCATGTTCCGTGATGTATTACACGCACCTATTCATTCTCGCCCTAAAAATCTTATATCAAAGAGGTTAATGATTCACTATATTTTCCATACACTAATAAAAATTCGACATTCTATGTTGATGGGTACACTAAAACACCAAAGTGTATTACAATCATCTCCCCTCCTCTCTTGTCTATGTTCTTCTAATAAAAGAAGTTTATGATTCTGCGTAACAACTATGCTGATAAATCTTTGCAATACTATATCAATGATTTATAGCAAAACCACATGCTATCAGTAGAAATCATAATCCCAACTATCTTTTCGTTACAACTCTTGATACACAAATACTTTCCAATGTGTTGTGTGTCTCACTAACATATCGGTAAAATGACAATAGCGGTAACTTTTTGATGACGATCAGAATGCGTGACTATATCTTGGGAATAGAGATTTTTTGGCACCATTGTCTCCAATAATGTTTACATGAAAATATGGAACGTTTTTTAAATGTAAATAGGATATTTCTCTCTCCTAGGTCACTTTTACATATCTTTCAAGCATTCGAAGCTAATTCTCTCAAAATCTCTCTCGATCATCATCTTCTCTACTTCAAGCTCAAGTTGTCCTCTGATTTCAACATGTCTCGTGTCCTATTTATCTTTTCACCGGCTGCTAATGCCGTCAGAGGCCCCAATGCTCCTAATGCTCCCATTTTTGTCCAAGCAAATAATGTTGCCTTCTCAGACGTCATCCCCAATCAATAGAAAAACTCAGGCATCGAGTATTTTTTCAACTACATAAAAATTTGTCCTCTTCACTACGTATTCTGTGATGACCTGGAGCCCTTCTATCCTACACAAGTATGTGAGTTTTATTACTCTTGCACTATAGACGATGATGCTTAAACCATCTCCGAAACTGTTGCAGATGGTCATTCTAGGGTTGTTGTCACTACGGCTTCTATTTTACTGGATCTACATCTTCCTCAATTGGATCATTATTTTGATGTCCCCTCTGAAGCCAAATGTAGATCTATTCATCAACACTTGGGCTATGATTTCACTATTCAGGGTATTCGTCAACACCCCTCCTGTATATCCTCGGGATGATGATGCCAAAAAGGAGGAGATTGATCAAGATATGATAATTACTGTCAGTCTGAACCAGAGCCTGAGATTGAAAAGATTGATAATTAGCCTGAGAATGATGAATATTATGAAGGTTTTCTAGATATGGATTTCATGTCATAAACTGTTTTTCCTGTAAATGTTATAGTTCCTACTTCATTCTCTAAGGGAGAGATTCCTCAGGGATCTCATAGTGACGTTAATTTTGATGATGATCAGCTCAATCCAAGAAAAAGAAAGGCTTCCTTCTTAGGGGAGCTAATGATGCTGAAGCTGGTAGTTCCTCAGCCCCCCGTAGTTTCTCAGTTCCTTCTCCTACCATGAAAAGAAATATGACAGTTAATTTGGAAGATTTATCTGAGCAATGTAGAATTCTGTTAGAAGAAGTCAGGGAAATCATGTTGTAAAACAATACTTCAGCATGAAATGATAGAGATGAACGTCGCTCCACCAAGCTTGCTCATATGTATGCCTCAGGTGATCGAGGTCTAAATATTCAAAGTGTAGATCTTCAGTGCCTTAAGAACATTGTTGCACATCGGAAAAGGTTTTCTGAGCTGTGTGATAAAATTGACAGAAAGAAGTTTTTAGACGTTCTTGGTCGAAGATCTAATCTTGATTCCATCAAAAAGGTTAGGTGTACTAAACCCAAGGATGAATTGCTGAAGATTCATTTGGTCAAAAAGAAGGGATAGTGAATACACTGAATTTTTGTTTACCTGTGGGTTAGTCAAATATGGCTATAATGAATGGATCCCGATTCAAGAGTTTATTGTTAAACATAAGGGCATTCAATTCCAGGAAGTGAAATTGACACTGCAACAACTCATTAGCAAAGTCAAAAACCTAAACTTAGTGCCTTTTGTTGGTTCTTCTCAGCAATCTTCATCAACTACAACTCCAAATCCAAGAATGTCTATACATACAAAGTATCTTCTTCCATTTCACACTATATACATCAATAATAAATTGCCATTAGGAGTTGAGCTTATTAAGTGCATATTCATCTGGGAGCCTGTACATGATATCCTTTATCTTGCCAGTCAAAATCATATGTGCTTTCAACGCACTGATGACCTTCTTGGTGCTCCTACTAAGCATTTGTTTCATCTTCGTACGGAATGCATTGGTCATAAAGAATTTGAGCAAGGTTATCATGTGTTGATGTCTCTTAAACTCAGCTAACATTTAGAAGATCTTAAAATTGATTAATTCAAGTGGATAAAGCCAAAAATTTTGAAAAAAAGCTGACAAGTTCTCTAAAGATTCACCTGATGACTCTTTTGACGATAAGTTTTGACATCATCAGATAGAGGGGATATTGTAAGGTTACACCTTATGATCTGATGAGTCAAATATCATTCACACAGTGTCCACCAGCATCAAAGTCAGCGACAATGACAACATCAACATTTTATCAACGATAGCGTGACCTTTTGTATAATAGTCTAATATTTTTTATATTAGTCAGTTAGACACTTTGTAATTATAAATAGCTTTGTATTTATAGAATAGATATCTGATCCGTAATCTTAGTGATTAGGATCAGATTATACGTAGATTAGATTACATCCCTTAAATACAGGGAATTTCGTTCATTGTATTCGTATATAGTCTTGCATTAGGGTTGAAACCTAATGTGTTCTGTGACCATCTTTGTGACTACTTTCTGCACCATTTTCTCTTTGTGAGAGCATTTTTCTTATTGAAAACCATCTTTGTGATCATCATTGTTCTTTTTTCTATTGTTTTTTTGTATTATCTTTTCTTCATGTTTATATTTATTTGTATCTAATCAAGCGAACCTTCACTTCCCAACCCATGACTTGTCCAGACCTATTTGGATAATATATCAAGCTCATTAGAACTTATCTAACTTACCACTATATCAACCACAATGATCAATGACTTGATCACTACCTAAACCCAATAATCATTTTTTACCACATTAATCAAGTTTCTAGTTATAATCACCTAACGACCTAACCCCGTAAGCCATTAGCCTAGTTGAAAAATATCAGTGAACTAGGGTATATCACATTTACTGCTCAAATTAAATATTTAATTGATCATCGAGTTCATAATAGCACCATATCACGAAATCCCATAATACATACTCGGGTCTAACAACCCCCTACAAAATATCACACAAACGTATTTATGTAAAATAAAGATACCTCTGCAAATCCCATAATTCAACCCTCGTATCCCATAATGTATAATAGCACCATATCATGAAATCCCATAATACATACTCGGGTCTAACAACCCCCTACAAAATATCAAATAAACTTATTTATGTAAAATAAAGATACCTCTGCAAATCCCATAATTCAACCCTTGTATCCCAGTACACTAGTATGAATTTGAAATAATAATTCTCCACAAACACCTCCTGAGCCTCTACCCTAATGGCATTCACAAAACCCTCAAAGCAACACAAATGGTGAGTTTTTATACTCCAGACATGCCACGTCATGGCAAGAGACGCGCCATGCAACGGTGACAAAGATTCACCAAAATCGCCACCTTTCGTTTTTTCTCGCCGCATGTCTCGGGGACTCGCTTCACACCGTGTCGTGGTGATTATATCACCATATCATGGTGGAGCACTATTGAACATAGAACTTTGACCTTTTTTTTTACTTTTTTTAAATACCAGCATACTTTCATCCTAACTTCAAACGGTCATAACTTCTTCATACAATTTCTGTTTTCGATCATATTTATATCCTCAGAATCGTCTCAGAGTAATCTATCAATTTTTTCCGTTAATTCATGTCTGTTATGGCAGAATAATACCTATTAAGAAAAATATTTATTATTGCAAATCCTTTTTCCCATGTGAACAACATGCTGATCTTGATATGGTCCATGTACTTTATACTTGTCCAAGGAATTCCACCTTTATATTATTCAGAAATATTTTTTTGTATTTGCTTCCATGATCATTTTTGTAGTTGGAGTCAATGGACCTACACACTTCTTCTACACCTTGATCACACTGTAAATCCTCTTCATTATATATTCCTTAATGTACTCTAAGCAGTTTATTATTTTTGTTGTCCCTCCCATCTATCAGTTTATTATTATTCACAAAGGTTATTCGAAAGCATTTCTGGAAGTGGTCTACCTAGAAATATAATAGTTACTCAAAACAAATAAATCAAATGTGTATAATTTATCATTGAAAGGCTTGTTTGAGAGTGGTATACCTTTGAAATGACTTCTAGTCCAGTGTCGTGGAGATATCTTCTTCAACTATTCATATGCTTCTTTGTCATATGTATTGAATTCCTTCATGAGATTGTTGAAATATTGAACTGTTGTTGTGGCACACTTTCATAGGTGTTCTTAGTACTCACTAGTTCTCATGTTTTCCCATGTTTTCATATATATATATATATATATAATATATATATATATATATATAATATATATATATATATATATATATATATATATATATATATATATATATATGTGTGTGTGTGTCTGAGACAGAATCTGTGTTCATCAACTGGGGACATCTGAGCAATGGTTGAAATTAACCTCAATAAAGACAATAAAGGATAATTAGTATATTACAAATTCAATTAGAAAGCTACAACAAATCAATTACCTTTTGTCTATCACTTATAAAAGTGAAGTTTCAAAATGGTGACTTTACAGATCATCTCCCAGGTACTCAAAAAACCATTTCCAAACTTTGTGATTTCTCAGAATCGATAATGGTATTATCTCAATGGGTATATATACTCGTTAGAGTCTAAGCAACTGTAATCAATATCTTCCCTGAGAAAGGTCCTTTCATAAAGGCCCCATATAAACCAATGAATCCCCTAAGCCATACTTTGAAACCCTTTCTCATTCCACCTAAGCAAACATAGTTTCTCTAAAAACATATTGAAGTTGCATTTATAAGATTTAGTTCTAAAACCATGACCAACTTCAAAGTAGTGTCTGGATTTGTGGACTACATCTCCAGTTTGTAATATCTCAGCACTTCATACTGTTTTGTGTAATCTCGAAACACATGTTTTTTTGGCATATGTTATAGCCATGATGTAACATCCCAAAAACCATGGTAAACATTTTCATTTTCAAAACACATTTTTCATAAAATCCATATAATAATCAAACGTTGTTTCCAAACCAAAAAAATAAAATTCAGAGTGTCAATATCATCTCTCAAAACATAAATCAACATGAGGATGAGTATGATCATGCCTTCGCCTTACCCCGATCATCTGAACTATCTTAAAACATTTAAATTCAAAACAGTAAACCAAAGCTTAGTGAGCTCCCCTAAAGTACTCCACACAACATTACACATACAATGCATGCACACCTAGGCCTAAAGTCTTACTGGTCCGTCTTGCAAGGCCTATAAGAGTTAGACCATTCCCTTGGGCCTACAGTCTAATTGGACCGGCTGGTTATCTTGACCTTAAACATAAATCAGGGCCGCCTCAATCCAACCATAGTATGTCGATATATTGATATATACTAACAATCAGACAATACCCAACACTACAAGTAATTATAACCAATCTACCAATAAAACAGATCACTACAACATACCAACATCCTATACGTAATAATACATACTTTTGTACAAATTATAGTGAGAAAACTCACCTTACGGTCTAGCAGTTAACAACACAACTCTCGTAAATCTAAAAACTGGCACTACAGGTCCCTAACAAAACAATCAGGGTCCAATTCTTAAACTACAACCCAAAACCCTCAAATTGAAACTAAGTTAAATTTCGACAAAAAGTCAACGATCAAAGTCAAATTCAACAATCAAAAGTCTCACACACGGCCGCCACGCGCCGTGGCCAAGATTTTGCCATGTCCTAATGACCTTAGTAAAAAAAAGTCACGGAGACTGTCTGCCACTATGCCGTGGGAACTGTACTTGCCAACTTAATGCATTAAGAAATGCATATCTAATTCATTTCTTAAACACTAGTTAGGTCAAAATGAAGTATACGAGGTCAAAACCTCATGCAAGGGTTCAAAACTCAATCAGTCTGTAGATCTAGGACATATTATAACAAGATGACCTCAATAATCCATAAATTTTCCAACTTTACTGTTTCAAACCTCGCCAACTAATCCAAACATGAAGAACAAGGCAAGGAAACCTAGATCTATAAACATGAAGCATAAAGGTTGGAACTTGAAGACTCACAATGGTCCAGAAGATGAGCTAGAAGGTGGATGAGGGGGTTATTTGCTAGATCTTCACAGAATGGATGTCTTCTTCTTATTCTTCTCACCAAAAATCACTATGAACTCTCAAAAACTCAAAATGAGCTAAGGCTACTTTTGGGTTGAAAGGGAGGTGACGAAGGTTGAGGTTGTGCAAACCCGCATCACATCCTTTAAATAGGACTTA